GTTAAGAAATGACTGATGCAAGAGCCGACAGCAGTTAGCAGAAGCAGAAGGCCTCAGGCCCTGTGAAGGCTGGCATTAGACTTGCTCTGTAGAAGGAATCTGAAATGAGAATGAGAACCAGACATTTACTTCGTCTCAGGTATCTCCTTTTGCAATAAATTTATTTCAAGTACAGTCAGATTATTTCTAATGATTACTGAGTGGTTTGTATAGAAACAACAATTTTCTCTTAAAGTTATACAATGAACCTCTCTGTTTTACACAGAGCAGGTTAAGTGCCCTATCATACTATAGAACTATTTCAGCTAATGAATCTTAATATTGATATATCTGGGTATACTTTCCTGATAGGCCAAGAGTCATTATAGGTAGCTATTTTGTCCCCTATGCCAGGGTATTTCCTTTTGATCTAACATTCCAGCCTGTTGGAAAACAAGGGGTGACATCCTCTCTTTTGTAACTACTTCCTGTCGAAACAAGGACATTTCTGTCACGGCCCAGGAAAGCTAGGATGCTAGTCAAAGGCAAGGAGGGAATTCAAGCAATGGGGCATTCATCAGAAGCATCTGATTTGCTGATCCAGCTAATAGACAGGGATCAATCACATTGACTGGACTGGTTCAGATCAGCCTTCAGCAAATCCAAGGCTCACAGTCACTTGAGAAGGTGACAGTCAGAAACTGATGCCTGGGTGTGTCTGTCAGCCAAGTGGGAATCTTCTCAGGCAGATAGAGACTAGGGACAGAAGGTAAAATTTAGGATCTTAAAGTAAAATCCTACATTTGGAACTTTCAGGCCCCTAGTCCTAGTAATTAAGGAAGGGAAAGGGTCCCATGACCAGGAGAGAAGAAATACCATCCTCATATAGACAGGTGGGGAAACTTAAGCTGGGCTTATCTGGAGTCCTTTCGACCTTGAGACATGGATTCAAGTCTTATGACTCCCTCCATTCTCTAAAGTTTACATGATTTTTTTTTAGTTTACAAAAAGACATTATAAAGTTTTAGATATATTAGCATAATCAGTCTGTAGTGAAATCCACATTGGTGAAAAAATAGGTAACAGGCGTCTGTAAAACAGCTGGAGTAGACTCATACCTTTGAGACCTAGCAAAAGCTATAGATTTGAGCTGAAAAGCTACCAACTTATCAGAGCTACACTGATCAATGTAAAAACTCTGATCTTTTGAGTCTTCTGTAACAATAGCATAGACCTTAACTTACTTATTTACATCTTTACAACTTGCATTTACATCTTAAATTGCTTTCTAAGACACTCAAAATTTACTTAAACTTTCACATCCTCACACCTTCATATATCTTAGACCCTCAGAACTTACATAGACTCTCATATCCTCAGAACTTTATATACCTTAAAATATTTTCTAATACCCTCAAAACTTGCATAGACTTTAACATTCTTTCTTTCCATCTAATCATTTACCAGAGACACAAGTAGTTATTACTGAGATCAATCATTTCATGTCATGTTCCATTAGTGGAAGGTTACATCTGAAACCTGTTTATCTTTTACTACAAAGCCTGTTAGCAATGCGCACCTATCTATCTTTTCTCAGCAGGAAACCTAGTAGCTCTGGTAAAAGCAAGGCTTGGTTTTTACTATGAAATGAGTAACAAAGTGGCTGCAGCCTTGAGAAAGAACCCGGATGCTGCTGCTGCTAAGCTGACCAAGCTGTCAATACCATCAGAGATCCAAGAAGGATAAATTGTAACAGAAAATATAACAAATGGCCTGTGTATCAATTAAAATGGCAGAGACTAACTCATTACCCAGATGGCCATCCCAGGTTTCTATGGTCTCCATGGTATTGGGGGCAGAGGTACCAGGATAGCATCAATTTTTGACCACCAGGTTCAGGTGAGAAGTTTTCCTGTGGAGGAGGAACAATGAGGAGCCTGATCTTACTTTGTCTAGGCAACGTGGGACAATCAACTCTTCAATATCCTGCTTGTTCACATTTTAGGGAGGATCCTGGTGGCAGGTGTGGCGATGGGGGAGTCTTGTTCAGTGGTTAGTGTTACCATGATCCAGGTGGAGTAGTCGTAGTGTCCTGTCACCTTCTTTGAAGACCCCAGGATCACTACTAGGAACTGGGAGTCTCTTTCTGTCATAGTAAAGTCTCTTTATTAAGTAAGCTCTTTATTAAGTCCCTTTATTAACCAATAATATTCACAGCACACAGCGGGAATCCCACATCAAGCTCAGGCTTCTTATTAACTCTTACATCCTACATTAACCCATAATTCTTGTCTGTGTCAGCCACATGGTTTGGTACCTCTGTCAATGAGGTGTTCTCATCTTGCTTCCTCTGCATCTGGGTGATGACTGCAGACTAACTTTTCCTCTTCCCAGAATTCTCCTACTCTGGTCACCCCGCCTATACTTCCTGCCTGGCTACTGGCCAAACAGCATTTTATTAAATCAATACAACTGACAAATCTTTACAGGGTACAAGACCATTGTTCCACAGCATGTATGTGTGTATATGTGAGCACAGTTTGAATGTGTGTTTGTATATGTGAGCACAGTATGAATGTATGCATATATATATGTGCAAGCACAGTGTGAACGTGTTTGTATATGTGAGAACAGTGTGAATGTGTGTGTGATCAGTGTGAATGTATGTATATATATGATCACAGTGTGAAGATGTGTGTGTGAACTCAGTGTGAATATGTATGTATATATACATACACACATATATATGTATGTATATGTGAGCACAGTGTGAATGTATATGTGAGCCCAGTATGAATATATGTGTATATATGTGAGAACCATGTGATATGTGTATGTATATGTGAGCACAGTGTAAATGTGTGTGTGAGAGCACAGTGTGAATGTTTGTGATCACAGTGTGAATGTGTATGTGTGAGCACAGTGTGAATGTGTGTGAGCTCAGTGTGAATGTGTGTGTATATGAACACAGTGTGAATGTGTGTATATATGAACACAGTGTGAATGTGAGTGAACTCAGTGTGAATGTGTTTGTGTGAGCTCAGTGTGAATGTGTGTGTGTATGAGCACAGTGTGAATGTGTATATATGTGAGCACAGTGTGAATGTGTGTGTGTGTGAGCACAGTGTGAATGTATGTGTAAATATGTGAACACATGCCATGGTGCATGTGTAGAGGCCAGAGGGCGACTTGCGGAGATGGGTTCTTTCCTTTCATCCTGGGAACTTCAGGCTCGGTATGGGACCATCTCACTTGCCCTCAAACACTTTTGTTCAAGGCAGGGTCTTACTGTGTAGCTCTGGCTAGCCTGGAACCCTCTATGTAGACCAGGCTGGTGTCAAACTCCCAGATATCTCCCTCTCTCTACCTCTGTGTCTGGACTAGCATTTTTCTTTAATTCTCTGGATGTATGTATGTGCATGCTTTTGTATGAATGAATGCAGGTGCATGTAGGCTACAGTACACGTGTTGAGGACAACCTTGGATATTGGCCCTTGCCCTCCACCTTGTTTGATCCGAGTCTCTTTGTCTTTTTCCACTGCACAGGCCAGGCTAAGCAGCCTGTGAACCTCTGGGGACTCTCCTTCTCCACTTCCCATCTCACCATGGATGCTGGATTATAGGTACCCACTCTACAGTCAGCTTTTACATGAATTCTGGGTATTTTATCTCAAGTTCTCACACTTGCAAGGCAAGCACTCTCAGCCACTGAACTATCTCCCTAGCTCCTTAAGATTCCTTAGAAAAGAACTGATATTTTCCCTACCTTATATTGCATATGTTTGATTCGAATCCATCTATTTTCAAATAGTATTTTTGCGTTAGTCTAGATATGGTGACTTCTCCAAAATGTTCATGTGTTAGGGGCCTGGTGTCCATGAGTAGAGATATTTGGAGATGAGGTAGGACATCACTGGAGGAGCTAGTTAGATGACTAGAGATGGTGAGCCCTTAGGGAGTGCCTTCTCCTTGGCTTCCTTCTTCCTGCCTTGAGGTAAGCAGAGCCTGTCATCTACCATACACTCCTGCCTCTGTGATGTTCTGTCCAAGCTGATGGGATCAATGGCCATGAGGTAAACCCTCTGATAGCAGGAGCCAAAAATAGTACTCCCCCCTCTTTAAGTTGATCTCTCAGGAATTTTGAGAAAAGTAACAATTAAATTGCTTCATGTATAGTGCCAAGTTCACGCGGTAGTACCCTCCCATTTCCGTCCCCATCTATGTATTTTTCTCTCAAATATTTAGCTTTTATATATACTACAAATGCACAATATATTGCATTTTATCTTCACTTTAATTGATACTATTTCCATTCTTATTTCTTTTTTAAAAATTTTTATTTGTTTATTTATTTAAAATATGTATTTATTTATCTTATGTGCAGGAGCGCTCTATTGACTTTATGCCAGGATAGGGTGTCAGATCACACTACAGATGTTCAGAAGCCACCATGTCGGTTCTGGGAACTGAACTCAGGACCTCTGGAAGAGCAGCCAGTGCTCTTAATCACTGGGCCATCTCTCCAGTCCCTTCATTCTTATTTCTTACTCTAGATCTTAGTTGTCTGTGATTCTCGTACCTAAAAACTTCTATCGTGTCTTTCGTGTGAAATATGCCGGTAATAAATTTTCTGTGCTTCCTGTCTAAAACCATCATAATCTCAGTAGGTAGCTCATTCTGGGTTGATAGGCATTTCTCCTAATATTTTGAAAGAGATGACACTCAGGGCTCTGTCTTGTGTCGTTTCTGCTGAGACATTTCCTTCAGTTCTCATCTCTGTACTGCTACATGTAACATGGCTTTTATCTGTTGCCTCTATGATTTACATTTTTCTTTCCATCTTTGTAAGCAGTCTGAACATGAAATAACTTTTCTTTTTAATTTTAATTTATTTATTGTATGTACATGTGTGTACCATTACACACCCGAGGGGGCCAGAGGAGGTCATTGTTCATCTGACCCTGCTGAGAACTAGAGCTAGAACGTTCTAGAACTTTCTAGAACTAGAGCTAGGCCGGAGCCAGCGACCCTCACACGGTACTGGCTTTCCAGGTATCTGTGGTCATCAGGCAGGTGAGGACTGCAGTTTCTAACTCAGCCTCACACACAGCAAGCTCTCTTGCCCAGTGGGTCGTCTCCCCTGACAGCTTTCACTTTTTCTTCTTTCATGATTTTTTTTGCTGTTATCTGAACTCCTTGGAGCTTTGATTTCTTTTTCTTTCTTTTGTTTTTGTTGTTGTTATTTTGTCTTTTATTAACTTGCAGGCGATTCCCAGCCATTATCTCTTCCATTATTTCTTATAACCTATTTCTTCTTTCTCTTGTATTTCTGGAATCTAACTCATGGCTGTCAGGCTGTGTGATGGTGCCCTTGGCCGTAGGCTTCAATCCTTTGCTCCTCTCCCTGGAGCGTCCAGTGAGCTCACGGTGTCTTAGCTCCTCTCCACACCTGAGCTTTTTGGTAGTGTGTGTGCTCATACATTTCCCTTTTACAGATGTTCCAAGCCCCATACCACATGCGTGCCATTGTCGTTCCAAACAAACTAAGAGTATTGACCAGTTTTCTCCATTATGTCCTGGAGTTCCCATGCATCCACCTGGGACCATTTTTCAGACTGAGGAACTGTTGTTTGTTTTGTCTGATGCAGGGTCTCTCTACGTAGCCCTGGCTGTCCTGGAACTTAACATGCAGGCCAAGCTGGCCAAAAAAACTCAGAGTTCACATTAAAGGCATGCACTACCACACCCGGCAAGGAACTATTCTTTAATTTGAAAGGCTTCTGATAATGAAAGATTTCAACATTTATCTATTTCGGGTTTGTTTTGTTTTGTTTTGTTTTCTGTGACTCACTATGCAACCCTGACTGACCTATAGACCAAACTCATGGAAACCCCCTGCCTTTGCCTCCCCACTGCTGGGATACAGGGATGCGGCACCATGCCCGGCCCCTGCAATGCTGTCACTTTGCTTTAAGTTTTGCAGGCTGTTTCTGTTGTGTGTGTCTCACCAGCTTGCCAGGCTGTTTTCTTTTTCTGCATTAAAGATTTCACCCCACTGCCCCTGGTCTCGGCATTCCACTGAAGAAGTCATCTTCTTGTTCTGAGGACCTGCTTCATTCTGTGGTTTGATGAAGTTCCTATGCCTTGAGTTACTCTTTTAAACAGTTTTGAAAGAAAAAAAAAAAGCCCAGCCATTATCTTTGCATGTTCGTGTGTCTGTGTTTGTGTGTGGAGGCCAAGGAACCACCAGGTGCCTCCCTTGACTAGCCCCGCCCACCTTAGTTTTTGTAATCAGGTCTCAAGGCATTGGTAGCTCCCCAATTACAGGTCCCCTCCCATGTCTGGCTTTTTACGTGGGTACTGAGGGTCCAAACTCATAGCCTTATGTTTGCTGGACAAGCCCTGCACTGATGGAACCATCCCCTGTCCCATATTGTCTCTTTAGGTGTCTCTCCTTTTCTCTTACACTGTTCTCTCTCTTCTCTCTCTAGAACTATAACTGCACAGTTACACCTATCTGAATATTTTTATGACCTTTTCTATTTCATATTCTTCTAGTGCACTATTACTAAGCCCACTAAATGAGGAAGGGTTGGTTTTGTTTTTGCAGCCCTAGGCATTGAACCCAGGGACTGCTCCTAAAAATTTTTAAGTTTTCTGTCTTCTTCATTTTGTTTTTTTTGTTTGTTTGTTTGTTTTGTTTTGTGTTTTAGTTTGGTTTGGTTTGTTTTTTTCCAAGACAAGGTTCCCTACATAGCCCTGTCTGTCCTGGAATTCATGTTGTAGACCAGGCTGGCCTCAAACTGAGAGATTCTCCTGTCTCTATCTCCTGATTGCTGGGGTTAAAGGCCTGTGCCACCATTGCCTGACTCTTTTCATCTTTGCAATATTTTATCCAAATTCTAATTTTCATATAATTTTGCTTAGAAATTTTTGAAAACTTTCATTTTGTTCACCTTTTCTATAATTTTATTTAATAATACTCATCATTTTGAAATTATCATTTTGCCAGTCTAGTGTCAATTTCTCTGCAGGTTGTTTCAATTGCTTTGTTTTATTGATTATTAATCCAATTTAAGTTATGATGTCCCATATTGTGTGTAAAAGAACTACAGAGGCTATAGATGGAGATTTGCCCATGCCTGTGCAGGGTGAAGAGCTGACTGTCTGCCTCCACAGGTACCAGGATGCAACTAGGTGAGAGCTGTGTCCCTGTAATGAATGGCAGCTTATCTCTGCTTTGTGCCTGTCCATGGGGTCCTCATGAGCTTCTGATGGAAAGAGTAAACAACCTTTATCTCCTCAGTGCTTAATGACTGACAGATACATCGCCCTCCTTTGGAATTTGGGCTTAGATCTTTAACTTTGATGGGGTGAGCATCAATGTTTGTAATAGCTCCCTTCCTATTCTTGAACTAATCACAATGAAACTGTGGATTTCACCCTCTTCTAGAAGTTTCTGGCTCACCCACTCAGCTTCCCTATATAGCCTGAGAATTTTTGTTTTTTAAAGTCTTAATGGGAAACACTAGCCTATGCCCAGGTTCTCTGCAAGAACAATAAATGCTCTTTACTGCTGAGCCATCTCTCCAGCCCCTCCAATCTTTCAAGAGTCTATGTGTTTTCAACAAAATGGAAGTTCTGTGCTCCCATCTTCCTGTTTCATGATCTCGTCTCCCCATTCCTGGGCCTCACCCCCAAGGGAAACATCTGTATTGCTTTTGTAATTTGTTTTGTTGTTGTGGTGGTCGTGTTTTTGGTTTTGATTTTGGGAGTTTTTTTTGGGGGGGGGTCATTTCAAGATGGGGTTTCTCTGTGTAGCCCTAGTTATCCTGAACTCAGTAGAAAGGCTGACCTCAAACTTAGGGATTAAAGATATGTGCCACCACCTGCTCAGAATAATTTGTGTTTTTAAAATACCTCTTCAGTAAAATGTAATACACATCTATAATCCTATAATCCTGGCACTTGGGAAGCTGAGGCCCCAGCTACATAGCAAGATCTTATCTGAGAACACAAACATGTTCCCCCAAACCCTTTTTAGTAGGATATAGTTTGACTATAATTGGATTCCTTTTTTGATGTGGGATTCCCCTCTGTATGCTATGATTATATTTTATTGCCATTGGTTAATAAAGATGCTGCTTTCAGCCAATGACTTAACAAAGTAAAGTCAAACAAAAAAATCCAAACAGAGATGTAGAGAGAGAATAGATGGGGTCAGAGAGATGACATGTAGCCACTGAAGGAGACAGATACCTGGGAACCTTACCAGTAAACCACGAGCCTTGTGGTAAAATGCAAAATAATAGGAATGGGTTAATTTAATTTGTAAGAGTTAATAAAAGTTAATAAGAAGCCAGAGCTAATTGTCCAAGTGCTGTTTTAATTAATATGGTTTCTGTGTGATTATTTCAGATCTGGGCAGCTGGGAATGAATAAGCAGCCTCTGACTACAGAATGATTGCCAACACTGGGCAAGGAAAATAAGCCATGTAAAGATGGAATATACACAGAGAGCCTGGATTATATATACTATTGTGTTTTGGACTGTGAATGAGCTAAGTACAGAGAGACATTTCATTGTACGGGCTGCTAAGCTAAACTAACATATATATATATATATATATATATATATATATATATATATATATATATATATATATATATATATTGACTTCAAAAATGGGGTCTAAGGAAATGTTGCTTTGGAAAAAGAGGTTCTGTTTTTGTTTCCACAAAAGATGAGAACTTGAATTCTTTCCAGACTAATGTGGTTTGATGGACAAAGATCCCCTGAAAGGTCTCCATGAACCCCAAAATTACTTTGCCCAACAAAAAGCAGGAAGCAGTTTGGAGAGAAGTAAACACAAATTTCCAAATATTGTTTATAAATGTTCATATTTAAAGGGGGGTATGCTATATAGATTTGCATTGGTATGGATCTCGGTTTATTGATACAAACTTAAAGTCAATTTTGTTATATGTATATTTCTACTCTTGATTAAGGTATTGTGTTTGTGCAGTTAAGTTTAAGCATACTTAAAAATGTATAATTAAGAAATACAAGTTAAGAGATAGTCACCTGTAATAGTCAAACTGTAGTCGTGTTAGTTAGGTTTTCTAGATGTACAGAGATAGTTTAGATGGATAGATATTCTTCAAACCTTTCAAAGACCAACAGAATATGGCATTTAAAATGTTTAAGAAATTAGGACTTTTCTTGGCAATGAGACACATCTGCTCCTGGCAGCACCAATCTACTTATAGAGGATGATGGATATTAAAGAGGTTTCTTATGGAGTTTGTTAGTCATTTGGGCAAGAAATTGCTATTCCCTGAACTATTTGATGTTATGCTATATAAACTGGACAGACAGGATCTACAGAAAAATGACTGCTGAAATTACCTTAAGAAGGTGAGACTGTTCTTCAGAGTTCCTGTTTCATGAGAGAACTGATAGACATTTTCCAGAACACAGAAGAAAACAATAGATAAACTTTGCCAATACAAGGCATAAGAGATCTTCGAATTTCCTGCTTCATGAAAAAGTCTGCCAGATACTATGGGCCTGTAGGCTGAAGATGGATTCTGCAACAATACAGAAGAACTTTGGGTGACTGTCCAGCCAAAGAGATGTCTCTGTCAATTCTAGAGTTTTGCAAGTTGCTTACAATGCATTTCCTGTTAACTTAGGTAATATTCTATCATTCTGGGGTCTTTGATGGAGTTGAAGAATAGTTATAATTATAGTTTTCCTTAGTTACGATAAAAGATGAAATAGATATGAATATTGTAACTTTAATTCTTGCTTGATACCTGTTTTATATATATCTAATTTTACTATGTTAAAACCTTCCTTTTTATTTAGACAGAAAAGGGAAGGTGATGTGGGATTCCCCTCTGTATGCTGTGAATATGTTTTACTGCCATTGGTTAATAAAGAAGTTGCTTTTGGCCAATGGCTTATCAGGGTAAAGGCAGGCTGAAAATCCAAACAGAGATGTAGAGAGAGAATAGATGGGGTCAGAGAGATGACATGTAGCCACTGAAGGAGACAGATTCCCAGGAACCTTACCGGTAAACCACGAGCCTCGTGGTAAAATACAAAATAATAGGAATGGGTTAATTTAATATGTAAGACTTAGTAAGAGTTAATAAGAAGCCCTAGCTAATTGTCCAAGGAGTGCTTTAATTAATATAGCTTCTGTGTGATTATTTCAGGTCTGGGCAGCCAGGAATGAATAAGCAGCCTACAACTATACTTTTTCTTTTCCTTTTTCTTTTAGAATGACATTGGAAGAATTTGATGCTTGTATGAAAGTGTGAAACCACCATCAGAATCAAAACATAAGGCCATTCCATCACCACAAGCAGATTCTTTGGCTCCTTTGTAGTCAATACCCCACTCCTTCTTTGGCCCTGAATAAACATTGTTTTCTGTTACTATAGGTTTGTCTTTTCTAAAATTTTCTATAAACAAAATCATAGAAACACATTGTCTTTTATGTTTGATTCCTTTCATTCAACATAGTTTTGAGATTTAGACATGTTTTATGTGTATCATTTTATTACTTTTTTTGGAAAGTAGTAATCTCAGTCATGACCATATAGTAATTCATTTTTCCATTCATAAGCAAGTGGACATCTGGGTTGCTTTTCACTGGGGGCTATTCTGAATAGGCAAATCATGAACATTTGTGTACCAACCCTTGTGTGGACAGATGCTTTTCCTCTCATATGTAAGTACCTGAAATAGAACTACTGGGTTGTATGATAAGTGTAATTTAGCCCAGTAAGATGAACTTACCAGCATCTGGACAATTTTGCCTTCCCACCAGCAACCTATGAGAGATCCAGTCACTCCACATCCTTGCCAACGTTTGATGTTGTCAGTCTTTTTATCTTTCCAGTGTCATGGCGTGTCATTATAATATTAACTGTATTTATGAGATGACAGTAAAGCTAACCATTTTATCAAGTGACTGCTACCATTTATAGGTCTTCTGTGAAATTTTTCCTCAAACTTCCTGTTTGTTTTTGTTGGGTTACTTATCTTGTTATTATAGTGTAAAGATATTTACTATATCATGGGCACAACACTCTTCAATTATGTTTTTTAAATTCTTACTTTATTTTTATTTAATAATAATATTATCATTTTTGTATGTATGCATATATGCGTGCGATGGTGTCGTGTGAAGATTAGAGGACACTTTCTACCTTGTTTGGTCCTCCCTGAGTGCACATAGCTCAACGTCATACTCCCTCTCACATGGGACTCTATAACAGAGTCAAACATGATTATTTATCTACCCTCTGATGGGTTATTGGGATAGGTGTTCCCTGTGTTCTGCTCAATCTGCAGTGAGCCTCTTCTTTCCTTCCTTACACATGCATGTGCTCTCTAAACTACACACCTTGGCATTTCTTCCAACTTCCTCTTTAGCTATATTTATCTCCCTATTTAGCTAATGTACTGAGTTTCACATTTGAGCTCTTTAAATTTTCAAGATCACGCAGGGCTGTGGTAGTGCACACCTTTAATCCCAGCACTTGGAGGCAGAGGTGGATCTGTGAGTTCGAAGCCAGCCTGGTCTACAAACTGAGTTCCAAGACAGCCAGAGCTACACAGAGAAACCCTGTCTCTCTCACACACACACACACACACACACACACAAAATTCAAGATCCCTTAGGATTTTTTTTTCATAACTATCTATTCTCAGATTACGGGTGTACCATCTTCTCCAGTCTCCCTGGGTTAGCCATTAGGCTACCTTAAAGTCCCCAGTTCATGTTGATTTCTCTTTTTTATTTTGGAGAGCAGGTCTAGGCTGGTGCTAGCCTCGGGGATGACCTCTCCCTCCCAGACACTGGGACGGCAGGAGGGCACACTGCCCTCCCGGCACAGAGCTTACCCAGGCCTTCACAGTCCCCTTTGTCCTCTCAATGGGTGTCTTAGTGCTGTGAAGAGAAGCTGTCCTAAGCATGCACTGGGAACCAAATATGGCCCCTGCCTTTCAGATCCAGAGTTTCCTCAGCGCTCTGAGGGGCAAGGGCAGCGCCTGCCTGCTCACACTCAGGATGGCTCCAGGCTCCTCGGCTGAGTTAGGTGGCCCTCGGTCCTCTCCACTCTGGCGCTGGGCACTCCAAGAACCAGCCTCACTAAGCATGAGACCTCTCTCCTATATTGCAGTCTGTAGATGCCTCTGACATGACAGCTCCTTCTCTCTTTCTGAGATCCCACGAAGTCTCCAACTTATTGCGAACTCTCTTTTCTTGATTTTTCTTTTACAACTGTGAATACATGAGTATGTGTGTTTTTACTTTAGAAGCTTTTTAAAATGCACATTTATGTATTTACTTGTGTGTATTGGAGAGGTTTGTGTGTGCCATGGTGAATGTTTGGTGCTCATATCATAGGGCAACTTATGAGAGTTGGTTCTCTCCTCCCACCAGAGAGACAGGGACAGAATTCAAGTCATCAGATTTGGCAGCAAGCACCTTTATCCACTGAACTATCTTGTGGGTACCACAAGTTCCTTCTCCTACAGTGATCAGAGATTCAGTCAGACTGTGTACCCAGCCTTCTGTCTGGTCTTCCAGCTGCCTCCCCTCACAGAGTCTCACTGTGTTGCCAAGGGTGGCTTGGAATTGCCTACCTGAAGCACTCCTCCTACTCCAGCCTCCCAGCTAGCCTAGGCTATCCTCGGCTATCCTCGGCCACACCCAGCTGCGCTCTTCCTCTTGAGACCTCAGCTCTCCACATTCCTGGCTTTCTCTCTAGCGATGCGTCTCTCTGTCCCTGAGTGTGGCCCCCACCTCTTTCACTGCGACTTCATCTCAGGGCTTGTCATCTCTACTCGTGTCTCTCTGTCCTGGCTCTAGAAAGCCCTCTGTCCCCTCAACCCCCTGTTCTCAGTGACTATTCCCCATCAGTGCCGGGCTCTGGCCCCACTGCTGGCTGGCTCTGGAGCAGTTTGTGGGTAGGGGAGCCCCAGATTGCTGCAACGTGGAACAAGCATTTCCAACACATGCTCTCGCTGGCAGCCTGCCACCACAGCCCACTGCCTGCCAACATCACACTTCAACTTAAAGAGGGAAAACTGCCAGACCAATGTTTTAGCTACAGCCCTGTGTCACGGCTGCACGGGGAATCTCGCAGCAGCCCCTGCCAGGAGCTGGAGTTCTGAGGAGGACTGGAGCTGGATGGGGCTGGCCTCTCTGCTCTGGGTACCAGAGTCTCTACTGGAAAACTTCCTGGACTTCTAGCCTAATCTGAGAGCCTAAGGGCCTCCTTGGGATGAAGGGCGTTCCCTGCCCAGCTCGCAGGCAGTTTGCCAGGGTCCTGCTTCCTGTCCTCTTTGTTTCTCTGTGTCCTGTGTCGTCCCTAGCACGCCTTCTTCCTCTACAGGCAGCCCTGAGCTGTGAGCTTCACAGCTTCACAGGAAGGCTCTAGAATCCAGTGTAAAGACAGGTTTTCCTGGTTGGAAGATAGAAATGTCAGGAGTCTGTGTGGAAGCCCTCATCTTTGTCATTGAGGAACTTGTTAA